AATTACTGTTAACTAGAGAAACGAAAGCCATATTGTTTATTTGAAAGAACTCCATGTGAATAAAATGCATAACCAACTCAGAGTTGATTAGAGACTCTAGTAATTTACAAAAAAGTAGTAAAAGACTTATAGGACAATAAAAAGTGGGATCACACAGTTCGCCGGCGTTTTCACCATAAAACAAACTAAGGCTTAGTGTTATTTCCAAAGAAGCATGAACATATAATAGTGTTTTAAGACATTTTTATACGTTCTTTTTATAGATACAAATATTTAAGTAAATGCTCTGTTTATAATAAACAGTATTAACGAAATTACTGGCCTGAATATCCGAGAAATTCTCATAGAAAATATTCGTGCCCTAACAGGATTCGAACCTGTATCCTATCCGGAACCGTCATATAGCCTGACCTGCCTTAACCGATCGAGCCATCTTCCATGAATATCTCACGTACATTCATATCTGCTCAAAGCGTATTCCCAATGTAAACAAATGACGTCACACATTATGAAATGGACAAATTTCGACAATTAGATTGATATTTTTATGTTTATACATTCTTTTTATAGATTCAAATTTTTAAGTAAATGCTCTGTTTTATAAGATTATTAACGACATTTACCGGCCTGAATGTTCGAGAAATCTTCATAGAAAATATGCGTCCTCCGATAGGAATTGAACTTGTATCCTATACGGAACTTTCATATAGCCTGATGTGCTTTTACCGATTGAGCCACAGAGGAGCGTTTCGATTTTACTGTTTTTAAACTGCAATTCTCCATGATATTCTCTTACATTCATATCTGCTCGATGCGTATCCAAATGTAAACAAATGACGTCATATATTGTGAAATGGACAGAGTCCGACAATAATTTTAAGAGATTTTTGTGTTTATACGTTCTTTTTATAGATACAAATAAAAAGTAAAAGCTAAGTAAAAGCACGTCAGGCTATTGACGGTTCCGTATAGGATACAGGTTCGATTCCTGTCGGAGGACGCATATTTTCTATGAAAATTTCTCGGGCATTCAGGCCGGTAAATGTCGTTAATAATGTTTATTATAGACAGAGCATTTACTTAAATATTTGTATCTATAAAAAGAACGTATAAACATAAAAGAAAAGAAATGTCTTAAAATAATTGGCGGGCTTTGTCCATTACATAATCTATATAATAGTGTACAATGCGACCGCTTTTGTGACGTGTTTTTATAATATTGTATGTCAGGTGAAGGAAACCTCTATGAATAGATGAAAGATCGATCACTATTACTGAACTAGAGAAACCTATTTTCTTTAAAAATTCTTTTAATAGAATGATTTTATAAATCTCAACTTACAGTAGAACTGACAGATCTTCCAATGAATTCTAAATGTTACCTTATTAATAAACGTTTAATATGACCATTACAGTTAAATTAATTTAGTCTGTACTGCTGGCTTATCCAGTCGAAACAAAGATGGCGGCGCTGATGAGAAATTAAAGATAGTGACATTATAGTTAGTTTCTAATAAACACTATTATTTTTTTCGAAACGGGGAAGCAGAGTAAAGAAAAAAGGCTTTAGTAATATATACCATTAAATGTTAAAAGAAAGGGCGTTAGGACAAAACTAGAAAATGTTATTCTTTCGGGGCTAGTCAAAAAATCTATATCAGAGTAGAATGCTGAAGACAACTGTCTGCTGATGAAAAATACTTAACAATATTGCAAATATATTATGCAAGATTTCCTAAATTATAATAAACTGTAGAAAGTACTTTCTCTTAGTAAGTATGCATAATGATTTTTAAAAGTAACATATAATTATTAAAATTAATTATTTAAAAGTAATAACTAATTATGTTCAATTTGAAACATTTTCTCTCTTACATTCCATTTCTTGGTGTTCCTGAAAAAGAACTTATACAAATCAGGACGGCAATATTTACAATGTCTTCTATCTAATCTGTCTGTTTCTCTCACTGATTCAACAAAATCAAATCTATCTAATTCCTTGCGTCATTTTGTCCTGTCCATCTGGTTATCTAAGGAAGCTGACCTGTTCGTATTTATCGATTCATCTTGTGTTTTTGTAGCTGTTCGCATCAATCTCTGCCAGTCAGATCTTATCCCGTTGTAAAGATATCTGAAATGAAAAAGAAACATCTTTTTTCTTTCAAAGCAGAACCACATCAATGTACTGTGAATATGTTTTTTCTATTTACCCCAGAAGACGTCACGAAATACAAGAAAAAGAGCGTTTCATATTAAAAACCTCTTTTTTTTACCTAAGGAAAGCCACATCAATACACCGTCAATGTATTTAACTGATCGTCCTCCAAAAGACTTCAAAAAACCAATCCTAAAGGCGTCCATTTAAAACCGTTTATTTTAAATCAAATCTACATTAACCTACTGTCAATATATTTTATTCATTTCCTTACAGAAACCTTCACGAGATAAAAATTAACGTCTCTCTCTTACTTAAACCATCTTGTTTTTTGTCAATATTTTCTAATTTTCATCCAGAACACTTCACTTAATCTATTCTTGATGTATCCATATTAAACTCGTCAATCTTCCAGCAATATTACGTTAATATATCGTGAATATTTTTTTATAACTTTTCTTTGAGAAACCTTCAAAAAATCAACCCTTAATAGTGTTTCGTATTCAAACCAGTTTTAATAAGAATTAGCAATTTAGTGTGTGATCAATAATTTTTACCTCTTTCCCTTTAGAAAGCTTAAGAAAAACAAAATCTTAAAGTGTCTTTCGCATTAAAACCAGGTTCCGCAAAACATTCGTGTGTTGTCAATATGTTTTTATTAAATTTTCGCGAAATAAAATCTTTACCGGTTGATTCGAATAAAGATTTTTTTCCAAATATGAGCAAAAATGATCACGTTAGTGGACCATGAATTTTTTAAAGCCGATTCGCTCCAGAAGTCTTCAGAAAATCGACGCTAGAACATATAAAACAAAATAAGATTTTGTCTGCGTGAAAAAACAAACAACGTATGAACAATTTTTTAAAAATTCTGTCCTATCAGAAAACTCCACGCAATCCAACTGACACTTTGTACGCAGGCAACAGCAAATCAAAAGAACAGATGTCACAGATATCGAAAACGCTCCAGCAGGGAATGAAAACCGTCATTTTC